CCCCAGATCTCACCTTCAGCCAACCCCTCCTCTCCTCATCCTCTGGTCCAACAAAGAAATAGCAGGTGAGAGGGACAGCTGGAGGGGAAGGGGGGCAACAGGGGCCCCAGGACAAAGAAGGCAGAAAGGTCAGCCCTCCCAACCCAACTGATAGGAGTGGGGGTGCTGGCAGGCCTTCCTGCTCAAGGACAAACCGTTTGTGGCACAGGCCTCAGCTCTCTCCTCGGGCCGGGATTCCCACCCCATGCCTGAGTCCTGCCCTGGGCTCCAACTTTACTGTAAGGACTGAGGTAGTTAATCCATTTGTACTCATAGCACAGAATCACCTGTGACGCCTCAAAACACATGCTCCGAGGAGCTTCCTGCTAGTTCATTTAAGAAAAAAAAAAAAAAATGTCTTCCTTCTGTCTTGTCAGTCCGGACTCACCATACTAAGGCACCAATGGTGCCGTCAGACTCTGCCCCCAAGGAGGGCCGAGTCAGGGTTGGGGCCGTGGCCCTCACCCTCCAAATGCACCTTCGGTCATGAGGCCTCCTGCCCTGCACCCCACAGAGAAGCCTGATGCATCCAAAGGAAAGAAACCGAAGTTCTCAGCTGGTGTTGCTCTCAGTCTGAATACAACAGAAAATGCTCTGCATCTAAACCGAGTGTCTGGGAGGGAAATGGCTTTCTGTCCCCTCCCCTCTTCCTGCAGTGACCGTGTCAGGCTGTGCTGCTCTCCTTCTGCCAGTTTCCAACAAACAGGCCCAACAGTTGCATGGTATGAATGTCAAAGCCACTAGGATCTCCCCATATACACTTTGGGGGTGGGGAGGTGGAAGGAGTCCCCCACCCCTGGAGGAGGGGCGGGAGGCAGGGGCTCTGTGAGGTAGTTACGTAGCACCATAGTTCCCAGTTTGGCAGAGGGTATGTCTGGAGCGGGAGGAGGGGAAGGCACCCTGGAGAGCTAACTGAGGCCCCTCCTCACTGCCAGTCTGCCAGGCCTGAAGGGAACGCTGTGCTATCTCTGCAGAGGGGGCCGGGGACAAAGAGCCGTCCCGCCTGGAGGAGCCCCAAACTCCCCCTCCGTCCCCAAAGTGCAACCAGGAGCCATCGGACCCCTTCCTCAGCTCCCTACCCCTTGGCACGCATTGTGGCCCCCACACCCCTCAGGAGCCTCAGAAAGGAGGGGTCCTGCCTTTAGCTCACAGTGTCCAGGCGCCCTCTCCTTCTCAGACAGCCCAGGTCTATGTCGAAAGATGGCTGTTGCTTGGATTCAGAAACGGCCTCGCAGCCTCTGTCTGTCTGTCTGTCTTTGGCACAGAGGAAAGTGGACCCAAAGAACCAACTAGAGCGTCTCATCCGGGGTTCTCTGGGTTTGACATGGGGTCTTTCTGCCAACGGTGAGAGGAAAGGAGAGTGAGGACCGGGAGGAGGGGAGGAAAGGGCAGGAAGTGATAAAACTCCCTGTCCCTCAACATGGCTCTCTACTACCCACACCCCTCCGAGGAGCTGAGCCCACAACCCAAATGGCAAAAGGCAACCAGACCCTCCAGGGGATTAAAGCCATTGGGGTGTAACTGTCAGATGCAGCTTCCAAGTCAGTGAACCAAACCGTTTGGTTTTCCATGTGTTCCACAGAATTAAAAAATAGATCCTAAAGAGATGGTCCTTTCTTACAAATACATATGCACACATACACATATATCTGAGCACGGAAGTCGCTTTTCTCAGGTCATGCAAATCTCCCGATTGCTTTTCATGTTAGCTTGTCATCTCACCCAGGATGGGGACATGGAGGTGACGGGCAGGCGGGCGAGGACCCGCCCCAAGACCTGGGGGTCAAAGGTGGACCCACCGAGACAAGCCCTTCATCCCGCTAAACCTTAACCACCAAACCACGTTCCCTTTGCTTCCTAGTGGTGTAACTTTCACGATTTTCCTGCTGGACAAGTATCAGCAGTGAGTGGAGCTGTGCCTAATCCTAGTCAAGTTGGACGGTCCCTTCCACACGCCCTGGCCTCTCCCGGGAGCTGAATCCGCCGAAGGAAAAGGACCTGGGCTGAAGGTGAAGGGAGCAGCACCCCGAGGAAACTGCGCGCTGCAACCCCCACCTTCCGGGGGCCTGGGTCTCTTTGCCGACGGCAGTTTGAACCAGGTCAGAAAGCATGCTTGCTGCTGGGAATTCACCTTCAATCACTGAGCGGCCGATGTCTGAACGCTGTCTGCCTCATTCTGGGATGAAGCATGTAGAGCCAGAGATGGTTGTTGGGAGACCCTTCGCTGTGGCTAGGACAGGTGGGGAGCTTAACTATCACTGGCCTGACATTTCCCCGAAATGTGTTCCTGCTTCCTCCTCTCTGTAGAGCAGGCAGTTCCGGGGGCTCACAGGGAACAGCGCAGTGAGAAGTGGTAAGACATGACGAATGAGGCAGGAGCCTGCCCCCAATCGCGTTCCCCTATCCCCTGCCCCTCCCCTTACACCCCCCACCCTAAGTCAAGAGTTCCCTAAGCTTGGGTCCACCATCAGATCAACCTAAAGATAGGGGGATGGAGAGGAGCAGTTACCCAAGAATCTGCTTGCCTCCTGGGCCATTGAAACAGACCAAGAAGAATCACAAGATGGGATTGAAACGAGACAACAGAGATGACAGCATCGCTATAGCCGACCAGGCGGACCTCTCGGAGGGTTCGAGGGGCCCCTTTGTCTCTTCCACCAATAGGATCTTGGCTCCCATATTTTAGACAGAGAAATATAAATTTTAAAGGGTATATATTTTTTAGTTTTATTTCTCTCCTCGATAAAACGGAGGCAATATTTTAAAATATCTCAACAGCACCACTGGTGGGAAAGACCGGCTGGGATGCCCTTTAACCAAAGGGGGAGAGTGGGGGCACCAGGGAGGCTCGTTGTCCCTGGAGCCCACAGCCCGGTGAGCCTCCCTCCGACTCTCGCCAGGCAGGACTGCCCAGGAGACCGAGGTCAGAGGTCAGAGCCTCACCCTGGGGCCTCGGGCTTGGACCTTCCCTGTCAGCCCCAGTCTCCTCCCAGGGCCCAGGGAGCCAGCCCCCCCGGCCGTTCCCACAGGGCCTGTTCCAGGGAGTTCCTAAGGGGCTGCACTGGCTCATGTTGTAAGAAATTAAGAAATTACGAAACATAACTTTCTCATTTTTTTCTTTTCATTAAAAAAATAAAATATTCAAGACTATCAGCTTCTCTTTTGCTTTGCTTTTCTTTTTTATATAAAATATCAGCAAGCCGCAAGGGGAAAAGAAAAAAAGATTAAAAAAAAAAAAAAAAGGTGGGGGGAACAAAAAGGAAAGTAATTGCTGAGGTAACTCCGTACCTTGAGGTAGTTCACTTGCGCACAGCGTTACCTGACTGACTCCGCCCACACGTCTCGTCGTCTCCTTACTGTGGTTGCCATGTTGGAAGGAGCGGACTCCACACGTGGGCCTCCCCACATGCAGAGGCCGCCCTCCCTGCCCAGCAGACTGGGTAGCACCGTCCGAGGGAGCGAGCCCGGGGACGCCGCCTGGCCAGTCTGCACGGATGTAAGTATATCAGGAGGAGAGGCCTAACCTCAGGTAACTGATGGCTGCCGCCTTCCACGGGCCTGACCTTCAAACGGGATCTTATGGAGGCTGGTCAAATCAATAAATTAAGTCTATTTACCCCTTTGTGCATAATACGTTGCTGGTGTTTTGAATTTTGTTTTTTAGGCACACCTGTCATCACGCCAATGATTCGTGGGGGCAGAAGCCATCAGTTAACGATGCCTCTAGGATAAAAACAAAAGCAAATACTCTCCGATTTGCTGGGTATTCATAAAATATGCCAGATGATGAACCTTCGCTTTATTGGGAGCTCAGGGTTGGGTTCCACATCCCACCACCACCAAAGGAACAGTGCTGGTGGGGGGGGAGCGCCCCGCAACCCCTGCCTCCGGGAGCCAGCCCTCGTGGGAGCACACGGGCTGGGGTGAGGGCACAGTGGCGGCCTTTGGGGCCACTCAAGTCCTCCATGGAACTGAGACGTTCTCAAGGGGAGTAAGGCCCCTTCCCAGTGCTCACATCCAATCATTAAAATAGACTTTAAAAAAATATAAAATCTGCCTGAGAATGATGGGAATCAGGGACGGTACAGTGGTCAGCCCCTATCCCACTGAGCATTCAGTACCACCATGTGCACCTGGACACGAGGCGGGGCCCGTACGGTTCGAGGGGTCTTGGTGGGGAAGCCCCAGCAGAGCGGGGGACTTGTAATTGTGCCAATTTTCCAAGATGGCGATCTGGAACAGATCAGCCGCAAGGGCCTTCCTTTTAAACGTGGATTACTTATTTTAATCGCCTATCTTCCCAGGTCTCCTCCAGTCTTTACTCCTTGCTGTTCCTGTTGGTTGGTTTAGGGAGGGACGGGAATTAAGCCTCAGCTGCTGACGTGTCTTCTCCCTCTGAGTCAATAACGTCAGCTAAGCGATGCACTCCCTGGTCCCCGCTTTTTCTGGTAGTGGTCACGATAAAACAATTGGTGTGAATGTAGGAAGAGGCTAGGGCAGGGGATGAGAAGGGAGGTATTTTAACCAATAAACCAAGCAGGAGAAGGCTGGAAGGATTTTAGGATCAAGAAGCAAACCATCCTTGGAGGCTGATTAAAACACCCCTCTGCATGTTTTAAAAACCTGAAGGAAATTTTATTTCTCTTCCCACTGGGATCTGGCCCACCCTCTCGGTGGGACCTGAAGAACTGACTTAAACAATCCACGTTTAAAAGCACCCTGAGCTAGAATTTCCATGGTGACACCCTGAGGGGTGGGCAGTGTTGGGCCAATTGGTTGGGTGTTTGGGGCAGAGAGATCAGGGTTCCTCACTGGAACGTCTTTCTCAAACAAGTGGGCAAACCTGATCTACATCCCGGCCCAAGCGTCCCTGATTCCCACTCATTCTCAGGCCTGCTGGGGAGAACGCGCTCTCGATTTCAGCCCGTCGTCCTCGAGTTGATGTGCTGGGGAGGGGCGGGTCACTTCCTCCGCGCCTGGGCCTGGTTGCTCTGTCCCTTTTGGTGCAGCTGTTTAACCTGGGCCAGGATGTCTCGGATCTTCCTCTGAGCCATCTGCAGAAAGAGCAGGCGAGGGGGAGGGTGAGGCCCCCAAGGCAAGGAAGGAGACAGCCTCACACGGGGACTCAGACCCAGACCACAGGACACACAGGACTTTAGAAAGATGGGGAAGACTGTGTAGAGTGACCTCAGTTTGTCTGCCTCTGAATGGACCCTGAGCACCTACTGGACGATACAGCAAGGAGAGGGGTGGGCGAGGCGGTAGTATGCACTCATTCCAAATTTAAAACTTAAAAAAGCTGCCACATTACTGAACCCAAAACAGAGTTGCCTGAGTATGTTTTGGTCAAAGGGTCATCAACTAGGAGACTTTGTCACAAATCACAACTCCACTACACATGTAAGTATCCCCGGAAAACGGGATGAAACGCCTGGAGATGGATTAACAAAACAAACCAAAAAAAATCAGTGAAATAACCACTGTGAAAATGGGCAAAATACCAAAGGATCCATATTTTTTACTCTTTACTTCTTAAAAGTTTCTTCCCTAAGAACAGTTTTACAAGGAACATCCACTGCAGAATGCGATTCACTTGACAGAAGTGTCCCAGAAAATGTCTCCTTTCCATGAGCAAGACTGACTGGGCGATAAAATACCCATTTCTTTTCTTATCCAGTGCAAAAAATGGTTAGGGAAGGACCAATGTTAAATAACAGAAAAGATCATCCTAAATTATAAAAAGCCTGTGGTCGTCACACCGTCACAAACAATCACCAGAGGGCTGCGTGCGCAGCAGGTGCACGTGGGTGAGCGGGGCTGAGCGGGGCTTCGTGTACAACGAGGCGTGGGCGGGTGGGCGGGGACTTGACCAGGACGTGCAGCGGGGGAGTCCCACATGGCCCGGCCCTGCAGGGCGGGACACCAGGACTCGGGGGGAGTCCCACATGGGGCCGGCAGGGGCTTGACACTGCGTCCCTATGGGCGCCAGTGGGACTGGGTCGCATGCCATTTCGGGGTGTGCACAGGTGGACAGGGCTGCGGGCATGGCGAGGTGCACGCAGGTGGGTGGGGACTTGACTCTGGGCCTTGCGGCGCCGGCAGGATTTGACACTGTGTTCCCGTGGGTGATAAATTTATATATTATTTTCATATACATTTTACTAACTTTCTTTCATCTCTGACACTTCTATTATAGAGAAAGGGCCAATAGCAATATTAAAATATTTCCTCTAATTAATTCCCTTTTAATGTGCACAAATTTCGTGCACCGGGCCACTAGTTAATATATAATGTATAAATTATGAAGTCACATATTTATATGAAACACATGAAGTTATCAGTGCTTTCCCTAGGGCATCATAGAGGGAATAAAGCATGCACACCTCACACTCATGCACCTGGAAGAGAACAGGCCAGCACAGAGGCAGGCAGGGTCCCGGGACTGGTCAGGTCATACTGGCCAACCTCTGGAGTCTTGCTTCTCTGAGCCCTGG